AGGGAGAGGCCGCCGGGCGAGTGCAGATGGCGGCCCTGGCCCTTGAGCAGTTTCTTCTCGTGCTTGCGTTTCTTCTTCTCCATCTTCTCCAGCTCCTTGCGCGCGATCTCCTCGGGGTCCATGGGCTCGCCGCTGCACGTGGTCGGGTGTGAGTTGTGCGCCGGCCGCCCGGGCCCTTTCTTGGTGTTCTCCTTCTTCCTCCATTTGGCCCGCCGGTTTTGGAACCAGACCTAGAGCAGCCGGAGAGGGGAAAGGAAGGCACAGTCAGGCGGGCCGCCCGAGCTGCGGCCTCCCGCTCGCCCCGCCGGCCTGCGCCGCTCGGTGGGGCCGCGCTGCCCCTCGCGGCTGCAGGCTCCAGCCAGGGTCCTTTCCACCCGGAAGGAGCGTTGATGGGGCCGCCCAGACAGCTTCCCGCTCCGGCTTCTCACCTCGGGCGTGGGAGCTGCCCCTTCGTTGGGCAGGTGCGTCTGGCCCCAAACCGAGGGGCGCAGGGTTCCTGGTCGGAGGCCGAGAGCAGGGCCCCTCCTCGCCTCCTGCGGGCTTGTGTTCTACTCCAGCCCGCGGCAGCGGCCTAGCCGCCCTCCACACCTGTCTTCGGCCCCTTGGAGCCAGTGTGGAAAGCCTAGATTCCTGGCTTTCCCGCGCAGGTGGAAGGACGGGAGGCGGATGTAGGTAGGCCTCCGCGGCTTCCCTCCCCAACACATCCATAGGCCACCGCCTCGCCGGCGGTGTCAGCCAGGCACCAACCCAGTGTTTCCAAGCCATGGGCAGGCCTGCAGTGCTGCGGAACGCAGGCAGGAAGCAGGAGGCTGGCAGCCAGGACCAGCAGAGGAGAGGGCCGACCCTTCTGCCTCTTCCACTCTCCCTCTACCGGCCTGCTCTCAGCCTCCCCGGTTTCTTTGGCTACTGGCCGGGCCTTCTCTGGTTCCGGCAGGACTGCGGTCCTTCGTCCCCACCCCAGCGCCAGCAACCACTGCACACACAGTCAGATCAGGTGGAACCTCCCGGCAGCCCTCCCCTTGGCAAGGGCGAGATAATCCGAATTCTTTGCTGCCCGGGCCTGGTGCAGGGGGAGCACACGGTGCATTAAGCCGAAACCTCAAGCCTGGAGTTGCCTTTTTTTTTTATTAAATAATAATAATAAAAACCCCTTCCTTTTCTGGGGTGAACTGCAGGCTGCCCTGTCACCAAGAATTGTTCCTTATCGTGTGGAGGTTGGAATGGAGGAGTCTTGACTTCACTCGAGATTCTTAGAACAAATGAGATGAAAGCCTCTCCACCCTGAAGCGGGAGGAAGGCACCAGACAAAGGTTCCAGTGCGCTTAGGCCTCTCCCGGCGTCCGAATCCGACAATCGCCCCGCCTGGGCCGCACCCCGCTGGCCACCCAAACCGCAAAAACGATTTCCATACTCCAGGAAAAGATCTAATTATGCACGCCTCGTCCGGAATTCTGAATCTGCCAGATTGACGCTGTATTTTTTAAGTGAATACCACGGCGGTCGTGGTATTGTGCCCGGCACTCGGAATATCGGGGTGGGAAGCATTGAGACACCCTGTCCTCCCCACTTCCGCAGAGTGCTAAGCACTGATTCCACCTCCCCTTCCTCAGCCCCCTCCGCCGAGCGGTGAATAAATGAATCCGTATTTGTACCTGCGTATTTCAGAGGCCAAAGGTAAACACACAAACCCACTGCTCTAGCTTGGGCACACGAGCCTCCCGCCAAGACGCGGAAGCTCCAGGCTCGCGTTCCGGCGCTCTCCCTCAAGGCTGAGCTAGGCCCGGCTCCTCCTCGTCGCCTCCCCCGCGCAGCCCTCCAAGACCTCACTTCCCCAGTCCTCCGGACCCCTTGACGCCGCTTCCCGCGTCGGACGCAGCCGCTGCCCTCGAGACTTTGGGGCCTCTGCCGTTCCCCTCCAGCCGCCTCGGCTTTGCCCTAGAGGCGTCCCTTTCCATCTCCACGAAGTGCGGAGGCCCAGAGCCTCCCCGGGCCGGCGTGAGCGCTGTGGGCTCAGAACCCGGACGCGCTCTCGCGCCTAGAACAAAGGCGGGCGGGGGCCCGGCAGGCGCCGCGCAGGTCGCTGGCTCCCGCGCGGGGCAGCGGTCTTTACCTGAACGCGGGACTCCACCAGGTCGAGCCGCAGCGCCAGCGCCTCCCGCATGAACACGTCGGGATAGTGGCTCTCGTTGAACGCCTTCTCCAGCTCCTCCAGCTGCCAGCCCGTGAAGTTGGTGCGTGTGCGCCGCCGCTTGCAGCCCGGGCTCTCCTTGTCCGGGTCCCCGGACTCTGCGGGCGGGCACAGGACGCCGCGCACTCAGCCGCGGCCCAGGCCAGACCCCGACCCCTTCCGAGGCCCGCTGACCGCCCGAGGTCCGGGGCGCACCGACACGGCGGCCGCGCGCCCGGGGAGCGCCGGGGTCGCCACCCGCCGTCCGCGGGTCACCCAACCCCTCCCGCCCGAGAAGACGCCCCGCAAGCCCCGCTCCCCACGCCCCGCGGCCCCCGCCGCGCCTACCTGACAGCTTGAAGGGCTGGCTGTCGCCGCCGACCCCGCAGGCGGCCGGCAGCAGCGGCGTGGGGGTGACCACCGAGGCGGCGGCGGCGCACGAACCACTGAGCAGCCCGTCGATTGAGAAGGGCACCGAGGCGGCGGCGGCGGCGGCGGCCGACTGCAGCTGGTGGCCGGCCAGCTCGTACACGTGGTGGTGGCCCAGCGGGTAGGGGAAGCCCACCACGCCGCCCAGCGAGCCCCCGAACTGGGCGTGCG